TTTGCGAGACAAAGACTCTCAAAAGTTAGTTTCGGGTGGGGGGCGTGACAATATATATCCCTGAAGTACTCTGAACCTGAAAATATTCAATTTATCCTCCAGAGGCAGGTTCTCTGGCTGGGAGACTCTAGGAGAAGTTTTACCATTTATTCTCATTAATATTCTTTACACTCAACTAGGTTCTATCTTTAGAACCCTTTAGCTGGATAAACTCGAAATAAATTTTATAGCATCTCAAATAAAATGGAATTTTAACTCTTGATGATGTTCAGGGTGTATTAACTTAACTATTTAAATCTATTCCTGGTGGAAACAGGCTTTCTTGCCAATATACGTCTCATTAATGTTCTTAAAAGAATATTAATTTTAATGAAATATTAACTCCTTTCACTTCTTCACCAATTCAGTTTTGATTAAACAGCGACGATTTGACTTAATTGTTGAAGATGAAGTTAAGTGAAAGATAAATTCATAATTATTTATTTTTATTTAGACATTCTACCCACCAGTTCAAGCGCGGAGAGTCCAAGATCTTAAAACAGTTGTAAATATTAAAGTAAATTTTTTTATTATCATTACTCAAATTTTTTAATCCCTATATCTTTGCAACCTGATGATATTATTCTTTTCAAACTTAGGTAATTTGATCTAACAGAATCCATAGTTAAAAATATCTATTTGGTTGCAAAGATATAGGGATTAGAAACTCGGGAGTTTGTTGCAAAGACTCCATTCCTATATAATGAACAGTTATGCGAGGATTAACCTTCAATGGAAAAATATTTTTCCTATTCAAATCTAATTAGCTTCATTATCATCATTCAGCCTTATCTTTTCTCCTGTAAGCTCCATTATTCCTCTATACACATGATATTACTCATAATTAAATAAAAAACAGAGGTATTTTGTAAAAGTGGGGCGGATAGTGTTTTAAGAGTTGTGTGTTAAATTGCTCCACTCAGAATTTCGAATCTTTTTATCTTTATTAGATATCTTGCTTCACTCAGAATTTCGAATCTTTTTATCTTTGTTAGATATCTTGCTTCACTCAGAATTTCGAATCTTTTCATCTTTAATTTATATCTTGCTTCACTCAGAATTTCGAATCTTTTTATCTTTAATATAAACCATGTCATTAACACCATTTTCCTCGTTTTTGTCCTATAAATTTCTGCTTTTAATTTCTCTCTAAATGAGGGATTCCCCCCTGTTCTAGTTGCGCCTTTGAAAACATCATACAATATTAAAAAGGAAAAGTGTACACATTACTAAAATGTTGTATGGCTTAAAAAAAAGTTTTTTTTTTCAAAAGAAATTTTTATTTCGGGTTTTTTGAAAACATTCCATGGTTTTTTGGGTATTAACTTCAAAGTTTGGATGTGTTCCATCATTTTTTATTTCCTTTATAAAAATTTAATTTTTTGGGGAGAAATAGTTTTTTTTTTCAATTCGAGCTAACAGAAGATCTTTTATAGGTTATTCAGATACCATAAAAGAGAACATTAGAAGTTGTAAATCTACGAAATTCTAATTCATAGATTGAAGAAAATAATCAGACATTAAAAATCTACAAAATGCATGGCATATATACTTGCCAAATTAATGATGAAAAGCTTGCAAAGATTACTTCAGTATAGTTGTGAAAACATTTTGTTTTGTGGATTGCTTCCCACCAGCTTTAAGTGAATTAAACAGAGAAGGAGCTTTCTGAATACAGCTTTAAAGAGACTGTAAGCGTAATTTCAAGTGACCCTCCATGCAAAGACGGCATTGACCGATTTTCAACTTTATGTTAAAGTTGAAATTAGACCCTTCTTTGTGAACTGTTTATTTTCATTTGCGGTGTCTGGAAATTTGACTTGCGCATTTCTTGCTTATAAGAAACAATAGAGAAATTATCAGAATAAACCCCTTTTCGGTTCAGGAAAACGACAATATCGTCCACAATGTTTGATCAGATGAAGGTTTCAAGGGTACCGTTGTAAATCGGGCGGTGTCATCTTTGTATGAAGGGTCACTTGAAATTACGCTTACAGCTCTGTAAACTCTCCTTTATATAAATGTAATTATCGTCTAAATTGCTAAACTTATTTCTCCAAAAAAAAACTTGGAAATTAAGGTTTTTTAATATTAATATTTTTTTTAGGATGGAGACAGACCTTATAAATCTGGTTTGAGTTGTTAAAACGCTTATCACGATCTTTCCCATCCGCAGCGTCTTTCCTATCCCAGTTTATTTACTCATGTTTATACCACAAGTAAAGGTTAATTTTAGCTTGAGTTCAATACAGGAAGTGATCCTAGCTTTTTTATTCGCTCCAGTTTGTACTTGGCGTTTTGAATTCATCCTTGGTCTAGTAAATACCAGGAGTTCAGGTCCATCCTTGCTGTAGTATATACCAGGAGTTCAGGTCCACCCTCGCTCCAGTATATACCAGGAGTTCAGGATCCATCCTCGCTCCAGTATATAGCAGGAGTTCAGGATCCATCCTCGCTCCAGTATATACCAGGAGTTCAGGATCCACCCTCGCTCCAGTATATACCAGGAGTTCAGGATCCACCCTCGCTCCAGTATATACCAGGAGTTCAGGATCCATCCTCGCTCCAGTATATACCAGGAGTTCAGGATCCATCCTCGCTCCAGTATATAGCAGGAGTTCAGGATCCACCCTCGCTCCAGTATATAGCAGGAGTTCAGGATCCATCCTCGCTCCAGTATATACTAGGAGTTCAGGTCCATCCTCGCTCCAGTATATACTAGGAGTTCAGGATCCATACTCGCTCCAGTATATACTAGGAGTTCAGGATCCACCCTCACTCCAGTCTATACCAGGAGTTCAGGATCCACCCTCGCTCTAGTATATACTAGGAGTTCAGGTCCATCCTCGCTCCAGTATATACCAGGAGTTCAGGATCCATCCTCGCTCTAGTATATACTAGGAGTTCAGGTCCATCCTCACTGTAGTAAATACAAGGAGTTCAGGTCCATCCTTGCTCCAGTATATACCAGGAGTTCAGGATCCACCCTCGCTCCAGTATATACCAGGAGTTCAGGATCCATCCTCGCTCCAGTATATACTAGGAGTTCAGGTCCATCCTCACTGTAGTATATACAAGGAGTTCAGGTCCATCCTTGCTCCAGTATATACCAGGAGTTCAGGTCCATCCTCGCTCTAGTATATACCAAGAGTTCAGAGTCCATTCTCGCTCCAGTATATATAAGTTCAGGATGCAGAATCCGTTCTTGCTCCAGTATTATTAAGAGTACAGAATCGGTTCTTGCTCCAGTATAAAACAAGAGCACAGGATCCATCCTAACCTACAATAAAAAATTGTAAACAGCAGCCAAATATTTATTGTTGTTATATGTCGGGTGGCTTGCCAATATTGTATAGTGTACCTGTATCAAAATATCTGTTCTATACTCCATATACCATACACTCAATACATACAAACCTTTGATCACCTTTGATGCTTTGTAAACCTTGTGTTTACTGTAATTGTTTAGTGTAAATATCTTAATTTTAAATTCCAAATTTTGAATCTTCTCTTAGAAAACAACTGATCCAAATAGCGAGTTTTCCTGAAGCCCTTATTGTTTTGAAAGAAAAAATGGAAATTTAGACATCATTTATGAAACTTTAATGATTTAAGAGTAGTTGAGATTTGCAACGTTTTCACTCTCTCAGAATTCAAAAGAAAGGTTTTCAAAAAATTTATATTAACTCGTCTTCATTTTGAACTGAAATTCATAAAACAGAGAAAGAAGATATTTGATTTAAAGTTATACAAGTCATAGCCGAACTTAGATTTTTTAGATTTTGGTTCAATGCTCATGAAAATGAAACTGAATAGTTTGACGTTGTGAATCTCAACTGCAAATACTGAAAATTAAATCGTATCAAATTCTGTACACTTTCCAGAAAGCCTTCCTCTAACCAGAAAACAGATTTGAATTTAATTATCAAGTTTTAGATGCATAGTTTTAGATTTACAAGTTTAATTCAGTATTTATATTTGGCATTTAGTTTTGTAACAGGGTAAATCAAGAACTAGTCATATGAAATGTGATATTACAGATAAATTTATTATATTATTAGATTTATATATCAATGTTTACACGCACATAAACCCATGGATGTTATTTTGTTTTGACCGTTCTTCTTGTAACTGTATCCTGTTCCACTTGAAACTGTATCCCGTTCTAAGAACCGGATCCGGTTCCTTTTGGAACTATATTCCGGTCCTCTTGTAACTCTGTCTTGTTCCACTTGAAACTGTATCCCGTTCTAATAAGAACCATATTCGGTTCATTTTGGAACTATAACCTGTTCCTCTAAGAACTGAATTCTGTTTCGCTTTAAACTGTATCCCGTTCCACTTTGAGCTTCATATTTTTCCACTCAGAACTGTATCCTGTTCCTCTAAAAAATGTAGCCTAGTCCTATCCATTAAGAACTGTATCCTGTTCCACCCACTAAGAACTGTATCTTGTTCCACCCACTAAGAACTCAATCCTGTTCCACTAAGAACTGTATCCTGTTCCATTAAGAACTATATCCGGTTCCACTAATTGAACTGTATTCTGTTCCGCAAAGAAGCGTATTCTTTTCCACTAAGAACTGTATCCTGTTTCAATAAGAACTATATCTTGTTCCACTAAAAACTTTATCCTGTTTATCTTGTTCAAGCAATGTGATGTTGTTCATGCTTAATACTTTCACAAACTTAACTTTATATTCCTCCAGAATATTTTATTCTATTTTTATTTATTCCACCAAAAAATTTAAAAATTAGCATAAATATAATGCATAAAAACATGTTTTAAAGATTGTTAACTCAGTTTATCAAATATATATTTTCCAGTTCCCCGAAATAATTATAAGATGTATTTTTGTGTTAAAAAGCAATGAACACTATGTAAAGAAATCTTGCCAAAAATAGATTAGATACGTTAATGTTCTATGTTTACTGTAACTGAGCAGAACTTTCTGTTCCAGATTTAAAGAATGGTTTCTCAGACTTGTACGTCGTCTCCACCCTCAACATGTCGAACTTAAACATATCCACGTCGGATACCATCTCCGATCTTCCTGAAGGACTTGGAGTTGAAGAGAATGATCACCCAAAGGTTGAAAATGATTCCGGAGACAGATCGGATTCCGGATTCGGTTCCAGTTTGAGTAGTCAGCAAAGTACGCCATTCTTATCAGACAGCAAGGTATAGTAAACATCAAAATCTACGAGTCTCCTTCTCAGCTTCTATCATATCTTTCAATCAATTGCATATCCCTGTTCCTATCATATCTTCGCTCTCGATCATTGCGTTCTGCCAATCCTCATTAGGTTTTATCCTCTCTTCTCCTATTATACCCTTCTACCTATCCTCATTAGGTTATATCCTCTCTTCTCCTAGCATACCCTTCTACCAATTCTTCTACTCAGATCTTCTATCTTCTTCCCGTCATACCCTTCTACCAATTCTCCTTCTCAGATCTTCTATCTTCTTCCCTTCATACCCTTCTACCAGTTCTCCTTCTCAGATCTTCTATCTTTTTCCCGTCATACCCTTCTACCAATTCTTTATCTCCTGTTCCACCTTCCAAAATACCGTTAACCAATTTTCTATTTCTTTTTTCATTTCCTTCCATCATTTTCTTCTTTCAATTCTCAATCTGCTCCTATCCTCTCTTCTCCTTCCATCATACTCTTTTACTTAATGTCTGTCTTATTTTCTATCCTATTTTCTCCCAGTAAATATTTTCTTCACTCTCTTCGTACATTTCCCAACTTGAATCTTCTAGAATTTATTTTGCTTAAAATATTTATCCATGAATAATCGAGTAAAATTTGCAATAGTTGCAAGCTGTCAGGTTTTATATTTAGCTTTTTCAGTCTAAAAGTTGTATTCAAAAATTCATTTAATGACGTAGAAATACAATTTATTCCCAGTATTCTCGTATTCAAGAGAACTTCTAAGGATTCTCTATGTAAGTATTGTGTATCAGGGAGACACTAATCTATTCTATTCAAGGAGGAGAAATTTGTCAGTCCTGACCAGGATGAATCCATTAAACCGACAAAACCCTCTCTTCTGCTCCGACTGTTTGAATCTAAACTGTTCGATCCAGCACTCTCAATCTATTATTTATTCATCACCAAGGAACCAGGAGTACTGGAGTATATTGGGAACCGTCTCTTCAGGGACCTTTCATTCATATTTGATATTTGTAATTTAGTCATTTTAGAGATGGATCTATTTAATTTTAATCAGGTTTTTCTTAAAAATAATACTTTTATTTTCTTGTTTATTTGTTTATTTACCTTATATTAAAGAAGAATGAGTACTATTTCTTTTAATTTCTAATAATTCCTTGTTTTCCATTGACAAAATTTTGGAAAAGTTAATGAAATAGTTGATATTTAGTTTTCTGGAATCGGATATTGACTTTTATCTTCCACAGTTGGTTAATATGTACATCACTATGCATCCGGTAGCTGAGGTTCTTCATCCATACCTTGTCTTGCGCTGCAGGTAGAGTAAACCTTGTCTTGCACTGCAGATAGAGTAAACCTTGTCTTGTACTGCTGGTTGAGTAAACCTTGTCTTGCGCTGGAGGTAGAGTAAACCTTGTCTTGCGCTGCAGGTAGAGTAAACCTTATCTTGCGCTGCAGGTAGAGTAAACCTTGTATTACGCTGCAGGTAGAGTAAACCTTGTCTTGTACTGCAGGTAGAGTAAACCTTTTCTTGTACTGCATTTAGAGTAAACCTTGTCTTGCGCTGCAGGTAGAGTAAACCTTGTCTTGCACTGCAGGTAGAGTAAACCTTGTCTTGCACTGCAGGTAGAGAAAACCTTGTCTTGCACTGCAGTAAAAGCAAACCTTATATTGCGTTGTAGGTAGAGCAAACCTATAGTTTTTCCCTATCTCAACTGTAAGAAAAGCAATCGTAGTTTAAAATTTCTATTTCTTAAATAAATGGAAAGCATCATATGTTCAAAATGGATGAAAAGAAACCTATTTATATAATGGATTTAGTTGATGCCGGTTCAGAAGTACGAGATTTGTAGAGTAAACCAATACTTAAAGTTTAAAGGGACTGTTCCTAAAATTCACCACTTATAGAAGAGTGTGTCGATCGATTTACAACGGTACCTGTCAAACCGTGTTATCGTCGTATTCTGGAAGTATTCTGCGCTGTTTTTGAAGCAAATTATATTTTATAAGAAACCACAATTTAAACAAATCCATTTTAAAGTTAGGAACATGAACATTTCATTCTTGATTATTCAGAGGAGTAAGGGCACTGCTGTGGTTTGCACATACCATTCTATATCATCTACAGTCCATTTTAATGAATGACAGCTGTACCTTTCCTCTTCTCTTACGTCACTCATGCTCTTTTTCTAGTCCTCTATGTTGTCCATACAGCCGCGGCCACTCATTCTTATCTATTTAATGAAAAAATATTCTTGATCCTTACAACTCCAAACTAATCCCCCCCCCCTTTTTTACAATCCTTCTAAATACTCATTTTGGTGTAAATAGTTTATAAAGGTTTCCCTGATTTTATTTCTTTAAAAACATATGCAATTCATCAATTAAAGTAAAATGAATTCAAATCTATTTTACTACTAACCAACCATCCTCTCCTTCCTTTTCCTCCCAAACTAATCCTACCAAATACCCAGATCAATTCCTCGTCCTCTCTTAATTGATATTATCTTTCCCTAAACTAATTCTTGATTTAATTATTTAGGTTTTTACACTTAATACAATTAATGAATGTAAAGCCTATTATCCTGAAAAGCTCTCCCCACTTTACACTAATTAGATTCTAGATAGTTTCTAGTTAGTTGTAATAACTAAGTAGTCTTAAATTACTTTCAGTAGTTTTTCCTGTAAATGGCATCCTTAAAACAATTATCAAGGTTAGATTATAACTTTTCCATAAAATCTATCCCAAGAACAACTAGTACTAATTCCTCAAATCAACTACTCCCCCCGCCTTCTTAGTCAACTTATGTCTACTTCCAATATCTATGCACATAGTTTAAAAGGATTTATTTAGGGAATGTGCTGATTTTTCCTTAAAATGCGCCTGGTTACTTGAAGCTTACAGTTTTGGTCACAAGAAGAAATCTCAAGGATCTCGACTTCGAACCTTGATTCTCTCCGGGGAGCTGGTTCCTGCCAGACAAGGAGAAAACAGCACAGCTTGGAAGACAAGTTTCCGGGGATATAAATGTCCGGCTGTAACTCCTAAACCAGCTCCTGATCTCCTTACTGCCCCTAGACCTCACGAGTTCCATACTCAGGTTCAGTATTATTAATATTTTATCAATATCTCAAGTATTTATTTATCTTTCTCCGGATTTGCGGGTATTTGGACTCATTGATCATTATTGTTATATCAGTATTATGAGGATTAGGTTTGATGGATAGAAAAATATCCAAAGTAGGAAGGTTGATAGCTCAACAATTTAGCTCTTTTCTTAACAGAGATGAATTATTTGAAAAATGTAATTTTATAAAAATCTAAATTTTCAGGCGTCAACTATAGAACTGTTGCCTGTAATTAATATTAAAACTCCGATGCGAACCCATACTAGATCAAGATCAGATGCAACAGGTCTCCAACCCCCCTCGTCCTGCAGGATTCCTCCGCCTGAGCTCCGACCCAGGCTTCAACTAGGAGATCTTATGTCAGGCAGAGCATTTGATAACGGTTGTCACTGCCTAGAATCCAGGCAGGCAGCTGTTAATGAGCTGAGGGGGAAACAAACACACTGTGCCTGTAATGCACCCAGGTTGCAACCTCAACTAGAGTTTCTCAAGGTCAGTCATAGGGTAGAACTAGTTTGGATGGGGGGAGGGGTATAACTTTTTCTTCTTCAACGATTCCGGCCATCTGTGTTACTTTGGAAACTTCATTACTCAATACTTACTTCCCCTGTATATTTTTCTAAATTTGTTTATTAGCTAGAACCAGAAAAATGATATAATTGTGGAGTTGGAAGATGATTTTTAAACAATCTTATCTGTATTTAATGCTTTTCATAACTCAAATAGTTTTACCATACCTTTAAACTCAACTTATTAAGTGAAACTACTATCCATGATACTATCATGCACAATTCATGTTTTTTTTTCATTGTAAACTAAGATCATAACTTAAAGGGAGTGTTCGCGAAAAATGAAAGGGGGTATAGGCTTAATGCGATAAAAAAGCGCTTTTGATCGCTACTAATCTTACTTCTATCTGTTGCGTCTGTAAGGAGAAAATTGTTAAAGACGTTTCATACCGAAGAACGTAGTGTCCATACAAATTGAGAAAATTGCAACATACGACTTAGACCGTAAAAAAATCAAGTTAATTTCAAACAAATCATTCGGATATTACAACCTATAGTCATCGATTATCTTTCGCCTCATTTGTATATAGTTGATTTTTCTTAATATGTTTTAATTGTTATGATCTGAGAGTTACATTTATTCCTGTTTCGAGGATTTTTGTTAATGAAGACGACATTTTCATATTTTCCAGGAATGTTCGAAAACAAGTTGTAAGCTAAATATTATTTTAAAAAACAAAATCAAAACTAGTATGAAATATCAAAAATATATAAATGTGGCGAAAGATAATCGATGACTATAGGTTGTAATATCTGAATGATTTGTTTGAAATTAAATGGATTTTTTTACGGTCTAAGTCGTATGTTGCAATTTTCTCAATTTGTATGGACGCAATGTTATTCGGTATGAGACGTCTTTAACAATTTTCTCCTTATAGACGCAACAGATAGAAGTAAGATTAGTAGCGATCAAAAGCGCTTTTTTATCGCATTAAGCCTATACCCCCTTTCATTTTTCGCGAACACTCCCTTTAAGTTATGATCTTAGTTTAAGTTTAAGTTTAAAAGTCTTCTTCCCATTTCACAGTTTGATGTGTCCCGACGTATCAAGAAATGTTCACTGTATCCGTTGAACATCATATCTTTAATTATTTCTAAATCAAAGGCTCTTGTTTCTATCGGGAAACGGCTTGGGCAGCTACCGGACCGAGAGAGTAAAACTCAGAGGTTGTTGGCGGAGCTCTCCATGTTGAACCTGAACCTGCCTGCCAGGGTCTGGTTACCTCTACACTCAGATGAGTTCCCACACCTGGTGGTTCGGATACCTCCCCAGGCAGCCAGTGTTCTCAACTCTAAAGACAAGGAAGGAGAAAAGAAAAATATATCTTTTGAAATATTTATTTACAATTTTTACATAGACCATCTTTGGAAAATGGTTTGTTTAAAAATTTTCTTAAAGAAAAAGAAATTATAGTTCAGATAGAATTTGAAATTTAATTATTTTTTAATTTTTACCCTATACCCCCACTCTCTTTAATGCTGAAATAGTTTTGATATTTAATATTATGAATTTTGATGATCATATTTTATCTATCTCTGTATCCAGGCTCCTTATATTATCTATGTTGAAGTTATCTCAACGGAGAATTTAGCAACATCACAGGTTCCGAAGAAAATTGTCAAAAACTTGAGACAGGTTAGTTTTTTCATTCAATCCCCTTAAACTTTAGGAAATGACAAGTATTAAATCGTAATATTTTCCAGCAAATCTAGATTTTTTCCCAATAAATATGTTTGGCGTTTGCCTCATGATATTGGATTTAGATTTTCAGGACATTACTGAAAATTTACAACGTTAAATTATTTTGTCAAATTGTACAAGGCTAATTATGAAATAAATTTCCTGCAGAAAATTCAGGGTTGATTATTTTGGACTATGAATATGATATGGACGCTTAAGGAAACTTTGCAGAACACTGGCCGAGTTTACCTTATCTGTATTTACCATGTTAACTCTTCAAGACAAGATAGTTTCTGGTTTAAAGATAAAAAAGAGAACTTGGGTATGAATATTGAAGTTGTCACTCTGTCTAATTACAAAGTACTAGCTTGGGAACCAAGCTTTGCCTGAAAATAAATTTCGCTGTAAAAGATACTTATACCAATGCTAAGAACATTCTTGTGGTTCTACCGAGTTTTCCGATCAAAGTAATAGCCAAATCGGTGAAAAAAGACAAACAAACAGAGTACTACTAAACATATATATATATATATATATATATATAAACTATCTTGGGAATTCAAGCTTTGTCTGGAGTTTTCCCTATTGAAGTCAACCTAGTCAATTTAGAATTTTAAACCAGGCTAAGACCCTTCACGTGGTTCTAAAGTGATCCACAATAAAAATTTGAAGCAAATCAGTTTAAGGATTCATGAGTTATGATCGGACAGACAAACCGAAATTACTACTTTATATAAAGAATGGTGATGTGTCCTCATTTTAGCTGGCTATATTTATCAATATTCTCTGTTGCAAAATAGGACTCACTAATGATGAAGCACTAATGAGAAAATACATTGAGGACATCGAGGACGCACATTAAGGAAGTAAATTGAGAACACAGTATTGAGGAGTTACTATTGAGGACGCACATTGAGAGGACGGACTTACGTGTGACATACATTTAAACATAGATACTTAACGTTTACCCGCGCTTGGTATTTTAACATGATTTAAGCTGAACTGCCCAGTGTAACCAGTGGAATTTAAAAAAAAAAATTTTACCCAATGTTACTCACTTGGTCCCTCAAAATATTTGAGCCAATTTGGTCCAGCCGTTTGGTCAGTTAATAGCTAATACATATATAAATGAGCGAAGAGCTATATTGTATAGAAATAATATTTAGGCAAAATCTGAGGAACGGCTGGAAAACCCTGATCTAGATAATATAAACGGATCCTCTCTCCATGAATGTGCGTCCTTGTCTTCCTTCTCCTGGACCGGGGTTCCTGACGAGGCTGAGTGTTGGTCCCAGGTAACATTACCCTTATATTCAATTATATTAGTTTAAACCTGATCCAACCCCTCCTGGAGATATAGGATATTTATTTTAACAAGGATGATGACGAGATATCCGCTCAGTACCAAACCTTGAGAAAACTCAAGGACAGAGACACAATTAGTCAAATGTCCGTGGATTCAACGGACTCTAGAGAACCTGTCTTTGTTGCTGCTATTGATATTCGTCGTCGACTCTCTGAATCCATAAACGGTCCTAAAACCAAGAGTGGGTTTAAAAGGGACCCTGAAGACCCCTCAGCGAGTGTTCTAAAAGAACCTTGGGAGGAAAAAGGTAAAGTTATATTTTATTCTCATCCAATTAAATTGGTTTTAAAGGGATTGCTCCTGAAAAATAAGGGGGATAGAAAGAACTATGATTAATTTTTCAACTACAATTAATACAAAATGTCAAAAGAATTTTTATGTAAAACTGAATAAATCAACAATTTTATCAAATTATAATTGTAGAGCCTGTAATTATTCATGATCACGGCCATTCAGATTGATCTGTATCCAGCATGTTTTAAATAAAATTAATTAACAAATGATTGTTATTTACTCAGTAAAAAGGATCCGGGAGAATAGTCCGTATGGGAACCTAGAAACCTGGAATCTCTTATCTGTGATAGTTAAATGCGGCGATGATCTGAGACAGGTTAGTTGAATGTGATAGTTAAATGCGGCAATGACCTGAGACAGGTTAGTTGATAGTGATAATTAAATGCGGCGATGATCTTAGACAGGTTAGTTAACAGTGATAGTTAAATGCGGCGATGATCAACACAGATAGTGGATAGTGATAGTTAAATGCGGCGATGATACGAGACAGGTTATTTGGTAGTGATAGTTAAATGCAGCGATTATCTGAGACAGTTTAGTTGACTGTGATAGCTAATTACGGCGATGACCTGAGACAGGTAAGTTGACAGTGATAGTTAAATTCGTCGATGATCTGAGACAGGTTAGTTGACTGTGATAGTTAAATGCGGCGATGATCAACACAGACAGTTGTCAGTGATAGTTAAATGTGGCGATGATATGAGACAGCTTTGTTGACAGTGATAGTTCAATGCGGCGATTATCTGAGACAGGTTAGTTGACTGTGATATTTAAATACGGCGATGACCTGAGACAGGTTAGTTGACAGTAATAGTTAAATTCGGCGATGATGTGAGACAGGTTAGTTGAATGTATAGTTAAAGGCGGCGATAATCTGAGACAGGTTAGTTAAATGTGATAGTTAAAAGCGGCAATGATCTGAGACAGGTTAGTTGACGGTTATTTGATGAATTGGTTGACGGAATCAAATTTGATTGATTGATGGAATGATTAATTGATTGAATTATTTCAGGAACTGTTAGCTTATCAATATTTAACACTACTTCAACGTATCTGGAAAGAAGAGCATGTCCCACTGTACGTCCGTCCATACAAGTAGGGAAAACTTTTTTGCTGCCTCTTATCCCCCCCCCCACTGCTGTTTTAAAGTGAAGTAAATTTGATATTTCTTTGCAAAAACCATCTAATTTATTTCAGGAGTACTTCAGGATTCTTTTCACAATAGACCAAACTTTGCAAAAACTTTTTATAAAAATAAAGAATAAAGTTTCATTAAAACACTGATCTCGGGAATTATTCTTGAAAGTTTTCAGCTCTTTCTTGTTCTTGCCCAGTATATCCAGTATATCCACATCCCACACTTTTTTTAACTCATTAATCTTAAAGAAAAACAGTTCAGACCTTTTCTTGAATCAAAAGACACGAATAATAAGATTAATGAATAAACTTTTTGGTTAATTTCTTAACTTTATTTTAAATCGAAATAGCTAAAATATTTGATTTATGGCTTGTATATCAATTGATATACCCCCCCCCTTCACTACCTCCTCCCTTTAGCTTTATATATCTATATTTCTTCCTAGAATCCTAGTTTTATCCAACGATAGTGGCCTTATTGAACCTATTCTAAATACAGTTTCATTACATCAGGTAACATTATCAGATATTGATTTTACTTCCTTTGGACCAACTTCCATGATGTTAAGTTACTTAACTGTCCCTTGGTATTATTAAGTAAAATAATATTCCGCTTTGGAAAAAATGCTAATTTTCAGTTTTTATGTCGATAAAATTGTGTCCATTTTTTGGGAAATAAACAACTTCATTTAATTTATATGTTAAGTAGTTGTAAATGATTATTATTCTCATTTTTGATCATCGATAGAGGGACCCTAGATACAAGACACAATTTCAGATATAACTTAAGTTTAGGAAAAATAATTTTTTTTTACATTTAAAATCCCACTTCCAAATTTGTTGGTTAAAATAAGTTAAAATAGAATTTGTCGTTGCAAATATTTTATTTTATTCATACTTTATTTTATTAATATTTTATTTTATTAATATTTTATTCTATTAATATCGGACTGAAGTATTTTTACAACAAAAGTTTGAATATTTACATTCCCAAAATAACCAACGTACGATTATGTAAGTGTAACTGAAGTATATGATTCCTGAAGCTAATGAACTTATCTTCGTTTTCAATATTTTTCATAATTTTGATATTAATAGTAAAGTTGTGCTAACTTAAAAGTAGTAAATGTATTAATGTCAGAGTTACTGTTGAAACCAAAATCAAAATGTAAACAAAGTTAAAAGGTTAAATATGAAAGGGAAATTTTAAGTTATAAGCTGAAGGGTTTTGTTCTGAGATGTTGGATGGGTCAATCTGCTGAACAATCCAGAGATGATTTCAAGGATGTACGGGGGGAGGAAGACTTAAGCCGCCCAAATTACCAGATTAAGCTCGGAGTTGAAGCATTTTTCGAAGTGTCTTCTTTATAAACAAAGTTATCAATTGAGGCGGTTTCACCTCTCTACCCGATTGAAAAGGGTTGAACCTTCTCGATAAAAGAAAACTTCTGACAAAAAAAACTTTTAGCACCGCAAACCAAAATATAGTCTCTTAAACAGTTATTATGAGTTATTTTTATTTATTATTATGTTGTATAAAGGTGAAGAAGAACAGTAAGATGTCCCTCCTCGAATACTTCCTGCAGGAGCACGGTGCTCTCAACTCCGAGGAGTTCCTCACAGCCCAGAGAAACTTTGTTCAAAGCTGTGCAGCGTACTGTATTGTTTCATACCTTGTACAGGTAAACCAGTAATATAACAGCCGGGGTATTTATTTTCAAGAAACAATAACTTCAAAGAGGGTTGGGGGGGGGGATAAGTATGAGGACAATGATATCTATTGGCAAGTTTATATCTTATAAACGTGGGAACCAAATGCTGACTTTAAACTCGTCATTTTACGACGCGGCATTTAAATGAATAGTTTAACCATTGAGATTTGGAACCCTTTACATCTTGATGTCTAATTATGAAGAACATTTAACAATATCAACCGTTTATTATAATAGTTTTTTCTACCTTTCAGATTGATAAAATTGATAAAATTTTGACAAATTAACTTTTTCACTGAGATAAAAAAATACAATATTTTCCATTGAATAAATCAACTTTAGAATCTAAATTTTTGTTTTGAATGTTTTTAATCTTATCCTTTTGATTACAATAGCAACAAAGATTTACTTTAAGTTCCCAGGGGTGTAAAAATTGAAGAAGAAAAAAACGTGAGTTCTTAAGAATGGGGGGGGGGGAGGGGGAATTAAAATTGAACATTAAAAGGCAAGTTTTTTAATACCTTTTCTAAAAATCCTTTTTTCCCCAAATTCAGCGAAACAAATGATTAAAAGTGGGGGGAGGGGGGAATGTTAATATTCCCTTTAATTGATAAATATTTAGGTGAAGGATCGGCATAATGGGAATATTCTGCTGGACAGTGAAGGACATATAATTCATATTGATTATGGGTTTATTCTCTCATCCTCGCCTAAAAACCTCGGATTTGAAAACTCGCCATTTAAACTTACACCTGAATTCGTTGACGTAAGACCTTTATAATTTATTCAAACATTAAAAATAAAAATTTTAGTCGCATATATTTTTTACAATTTGTTTTATAATTTTTATAAAATAGATTGGTACAAAGCATAGCTCATAATATTATAATTACATATCTTTAGTGCAGGTTAATTTATTGCATAGATAAGGTTCCCACTAAACATGATTGGACAAGGTTGAAAACCCAGTTTTACTTTGCACAATGTGATTTTTATTGGATGAGAAGTAATTTTTAGTTCTATTTTAGAAACTGAAATTTGAACTAAATGTTTGTAGTTTTGTCAGAACAAAAATGCAGATCACATTTCTGTAATCTTATGAATTATACTTCTATGCATAAAGGTTTTCTCCAGCTAGGAAATCTGATGAATTGTACTTCTATGCATAAAGGGTTTCTCTAGCTAGGAAATCTGATGAATTGTACTTCTATGCATAAAGGGTTTCTCTAGCTAGGAAATCTGATGAATTGTACTTCTATGCATAAAGGGTTTCTCTAGCTAGGAAATCTGATGAATTGTACTTCTATGCATAAAGGGTTTCTCTAGCTAGGAAATCTGATGAATTGTACTTCTATGCATAAAGGGTTTCTCTAGCTAGGAAATCTGATGAATTGTACTTCTATGCATAAAGGGTTTCTCTAGCTAGGAAATCTGATGAATTGTACTTCTATGCATAAAGGGTTTCTCTAGCTAGGAAATNCAGGTTAGTCAATATTCTGTAGTTATGGGAGCAGTTTAGTAAATATTCTATAGTTATGCGAGCAGGTTAGTCAATATTCTTTAGTTATGGGACCAGGTTAGTCAATATTCTATAGTTATGGGAGCAGGATAGTCAATATTCTGTAGTTATGGGAGCAGGTTAGTCAATATTCTGTAGTTATGGGAGCAGGTTAGTAAATATTCTATAGTTATGCGAGCAGGTTAGTCAATATTCTTTAGTTATGAGAGCAGGTTAATTAATGTTCTATAGTTATGACTGAGAGCAGGTTAGTTAATATTCTATAGTTTTGTGAGCAGGTTAGTCAATATTTTATTGTTATGGAAGCAGGTTAGTCAGTATTCTAAAGTCATGATGAGAGCAGGTTAGTCAATATTCTATAGTTATGAGAGCAGGTTAGTCAATATTCAATTTTTATGAGAGCAGGTTAGTTTATATTCTATAATTATGGGAACAGGTTAGTCAATGTTCTATAGTTAGTTACGGGAGCAGGTTAGTCAATATTCTGTCATCATGGGAGCAGGTTAGTCAGTAATCTATTATTATGAGAGCAGGTTATTCAATGTTCTTTAGTTAGTTATGGGAGCAGGTTAGTCAATATTCTGTCATCATGGGAGCAGGTTAGTCAGTAATCTATAATTAGTTAGTTATGGGAGCAGGTTAGTCAATATTCTGTCATCATGGGAGCAGGTTAGTCAGTAATCTATAATTATGAGAGCAGGTTAGTCAATATTAATAAATGAATGATAATAATGTTTTTGACAGGATCCCAGTTGCCCTGCTTCAACAGTAGTAGCTCCGTCCTAGCGATGAAAACAAGATTTCATCTCAACCTTACTGAAGAGAAACTACATAGTCTAGTGGACGCCATGGTTCATCAATCATTAAATTCTTTAACAACTAAGTACGTTGTATTGTTAGTTTATCGATAGGTTGATAGGTTGATAGGTTGACAGGCGTTTTTTGCTGTTAAAAGAAAGGGTTGGTTGACTGGATGGTTAGCTGTTTATTGGATTGGTTAATGTGTTGGTAGGTTGACTGGTTTGTTTAATGTTCAGTAGATTGGTTGGTATTTAGTCGGTAGGTTGGTTGGTTGGGAGGTTGGTTGGTTGGTTTGCTTTTTAGTTGATTGGTTGTAAGTTTAGTCGGTTGGTTGGTAGGTTAGTATATAGGTTGGTTGGTTCGCTGTTTAGTAGATTGGTTGGTAGGTTAGTTTTTTGCTGCTGAAAGAGCTGGTTGATAAGTTATTGAAGTAGTTTTTTTGGTGGTCGATTGGCTTTTGGCTGATTCAATTGTTAGGTATTTAATTGATTTCCTGATCAAATTATTATTATTATTTTGTCATTACAATAAAAATGTTGGAGATAATATTACACAAAACCAAAGAATATAATGAAGCGTACTGCAGTTTCTGGGAGTATCGCATGTGCTGCCCAGGGGCGGATACAGGAATTAATTTGGTGTGAGCGAAACCTTGTTTTCTGCTCACCCCTTGGGGCAGTTGGGGGGAGTAAGATTTAACTCAAACTTTAACAGTCTGCGTCACCTTTTTTATAATATATCTAAGCAGTAGGACTTCAACTCACAATCTCATAGCATATTTATCTCATTGTCTGAAGTCTTTTATTTTTTATAAATAGAACAAATATATCAAATTGGATTTTGGAATTTCAAAATTATCGCTTTTTTCGTAGCTCATTCCTACAGCTTCACCCTCAGCGATTAGCAGCTTTCCAGGTATAAGCAATTTTCCAGGGGTGAGCGGCCGCTCCAGGGCCCACCCCTGTAATCCTACCAGAAACCGAAGTTTTCATTAGTTTATGGAAGTTGCTTTTATATTCCTTGAACAAGTTTATATTTATAATTATATTTATTTTTAGGTTATATGATAATTTCCAGTACTACACGAACGGTATACTCTAATAATAGTTAATGCATTCTACAATACATTCTACAACTACAAAGTATTTTTATAAAAATCTTTATTAAATGTAATAATGTAATCCAATTAATTGATTTTTACTGATAATGAACCATAAATATGTGTTGCATTTCATTAGAGAAAAGAAACAAATTAAGAGAAAGAGAAATTAAGGTGTCTGAATATAAGAGATGATATGGAACACAGTGTGTTTACAAAGAAGAGATGATAAGGAACACAGTACAGTGTGTCAGAATAGGAGAGATGATCAGGAACACAGTGTGTGTAAATAGAAAAGATAATAAGGAGTACAGTACAGTGTGTCAGAATAGAAGAGATGATAAGGAACACACTGTGTGTAAATAAAAGAGATGATAAGGAACACAGTGTGTGTATATAGAAAAGATGAGTACAGTACAGTGTGTCCAAATAGAAGAGAAGGAGTACAGTACAGTGTTTCTAAATAAAAAAGATAAGGAGTTCAGTACAGTGTTTCTAAATAAAAAAGATAAGGAGTACAGAACAGTGTTTCTAAATAAGAAAGATAAGGAGTACAGTACAGTGTTTCTAAATAAAAAAGATAAGTAGTACAGTACAGTGTTTCTAAATAAAAAAGATAAGGAGTACAGTACAGTGTTACTAAATAAAAAAGATAAGGAGTACAGTACAGTGTTTCTAAATAAAAAAGATAAGGAGTACAGAACAGTGTTTCTAAATAAAAAAGATAAGGAGTACAATACAGTGTTTCTAAATAAAAAAGATAAGTAGTACAGTACAGTGTGTCTTATAGAAGAGATGATGAGGAGCACAGTATGTCTCGATGAAGAGATGATAACGAGCTCAGTGTGTCTAGAAATAAGAGATGATAGGGAACACAGTTTGTTCCAATAGAAGATATAAAAAGGAACACAGTTTGTTTAAATAGAAGAGGTAAAAAAGACCACAGTGTGTCTAAATAGAACAGATGATAAGGAACACAGTGTGTGTAAATAGAAAATATGAGTACAGTACATTCTGTCCAAATAGAAGAGAAGGAGTACAGTACAGTGTGTCTTATAGAAGAGATGATGAGGAGCACAGTGTGTCTCGATAGAAGAGATGATGACGAGCTCTGTGTGTCTAGAAAGAAGAGAGGATAAGGAACACAGTGTGTTTCAATATAAGAGATAAAAAGGAGCACAATGTGTTTAAATAGAACAGATGATAAGGAACAGTGTGTCTAAATAGAAAACATAATAAGGTGTACAGTACAGTGTGTCTAAATGAAAGAGATGATAAGGAGCACAGTGTGTTTCAATAAAAGAGATAATAAGTAGGATAGTGTGTCTAAATAAAGAGGTGATAAGGCGCACACTGTGTCTCAATCGTCCCAATTCAACAGGAGAGATTATAAGGAACACAGCTTGTGTCTAAGTAAAGAGATGATAAGGCGCACACTTCGTCTAAATAGAAGAGATGATCAGGACTAAGGAGCATACTGCACAGTATGACTCAATACAAGCTATGCCAAGGAGCACAGTTTGCAGTGGCGTAAATAGGGGGGGGGGGATTTTACCCCCCCCCCCTAGAATGATTTTAATTCAACATGCATATTCTAAATGATTCTAAATTCTTAAGTAATAGTCTTAATGTCAATACAATAAGATGTTTTTTTAACAGAAAAAAAGGTTATGGGCAATGAAGAATACAGTTTTACTTCTAAATAATATTTCCATATTAGATTTATTTAAGATCTTAACATACTGCATTGACGACAAGAAATTTTAGAAATTAGAATTTAGAAAATAAAAAACACAATATTTTCTCAACGTTTTGCAGTGTAGCTTTTCTAAAGATTTTTAAAAAAGTAACCTCTTTTTCCTCTTAGAACGTAAAACTATTTTTTATGTTACTTAAAATAAATTCAGTTTTTCTACAGATCTTGTAGATAATGTAAAATGAATGACTACAATGAAGGTTGTCCTAAAACAATTGGTGAAAGCTGAAAGGTAGGAAATGAAGCCTTTATTTGATGGAGTTTGTTAATGCCAGAAATGAGTGGAAAATGCAAATCAAACGAAGCAAACCCAACTAAATCCAATCATTTGATATACATCATGATATTTTTCGAGGGGGGGTAAAAAAAATTCTACAGAATCCTTACTTTAACGGCCTTGAAATGATAAGTAGAACAATGGGCCTAAAAAATGAAGAGATATATGATAAGGACCGTACAGTGTGTCTAAATAGAGGAGATGATGTAGGGCACAGTGTCTGAATAGAATAGATACATATTAGATCGTCAATCGGTCTAAATTGGACGATTTTGGGACAAATTAGAAAATTTAAGAGGATTGAATTATTTTGAAAAATTGAAAAAGCTATAATATAAGAATTTTCTTGTGGAAAGTTTTTCGAGTATTTTGTGTTTATTTCGACGTTACAACTTGGAGGTAATCTATTATGATATGGGTTAAAAAAGCTAAAACAGCTTTTAAGCTCTTATTGTATTTTAATCAAGGTGGCATTTAACATGCATTTTAAATGTTTACACAGTTTAAAATATGTTGTTTAATCAACCCGAATATTAATCTTACTGACTATTTTTAGATAAAATATTAATATTATTAAAAGTTTTTGATTTATTCACCCCTGAAATAGGCCAGCTGATGTGTAGCTGGCTCCTCCAGTCCCTCTCAACTGTCTTCTCTAAACTTTAGTCGGAGCTCTAGCTACAAGCAAACCAGGCCAGTCATACTTACTCTGTAGCGCAGCAAACTAAGCAAAGTAGATTGTTGGCCTGAATGTAGCTAAGGGCTGAACACTCGTCATTTTACTTTTCTTGTTTTTTTACTGGAGTAACATGAATTGTCATTTTCTGTTGTATATTCTTGCCTTTAGTGCACTGCACAGTTGAGTAGTAGAAGTATTACTTTATCTTTTCTTTACTAAATGTATATGCAACTACACTGCAACCTACCTCTTTCTATTGCGCAACATTTATGAATCAATTATTTTTGAGAAACTTTGACGTAACTTAATTATAAATTTTTTAAAAGTTTTCAGATTTAAAATCAATGGTTTGAAAGCGATCGCAAGAAACATTTATATAAAGAAGTTTACTGAAGCGATAGTGTATTTAATAGACGGAAAGCCTCTAAAAACCAATCAACTATTAAAAGATGACGACTGCCGCTAGAAGACGATTAATGAGAGATTTTAAACGATTGCAGGTGAGTTCAAACTTTACTATCATCCTCATGAGATAACCTACCTTCTTAAAATGAAACTTTTATGTGGATTTTTTTTACTATTCGCCTCTCCTAACGTTTAATGGCAGTTTAAAACTACTCTTAAAATTTTTTACACAATTTGGTCAAAGCCCATCCATGTTCGTAGTTCAAAGCTTTGTCTGATCAAGTATTGCATTAAAAATCCATGTTTCCCATTTTGAAAACTGAATATTTTATTTGTGGTTTCTCTACAAAAGTGACTAGCGCTTTCTTTTCTTCAGAAACTATGGAGAAATGAAAGTTTCAAATGTACATCGGACCTGCCACTCTATAAATGGAGGGTCACTTGAAATTACGCATATATTCTATTTAAGTATAATTACATCGTATAGCAAAAACATACTTTAAAATCTCACTTTTGCCCTTAACTTAAAAGGTTTCATTAAAAAAGCTTTAATCAATGCTGCCTTTAGTGTAAATATATATTTGATATCATAATTTATTATACAATATGTATCAATCCTATGAAAATATAGATATTTTTTAGAAACGTTTCCATCTATATTTTTCATCCCTTGAAGCTTACACAACAGTATTAAGAGGGATTACCTGATTTTGTGCCCCCCCCCCCTTAAGAAAATTACATAAATAATTTTCCAAAGCCTTTTATCTGGAAGTGTGTATATGATCGAATAGTTTACATAGTTAAATAATGTATCATATTTTTTTCAAAAAAGGAGTTTTAAAGGGGAAGGGCACAATGTTGCCAAGGGAGGGGCACAAACAAATTTTCGCGCTGACGCGTGTTAAATGTGCCCCCCCCCCCCTACACAAATGCTTTCGTACGCCCCTGTTCCAGGATGACCCTCTATGCATATATTTTTATGGTCGCAGGAGGACCCCTTTAGTATAACATATATTTGTATGGTTTCAGGAGGTTCCTCTATATGTATATTTGTAAGGTTGCAAAAAGATCCCTCTCTACATACAAATAATAGCATGGTTGCAGAAGGACTCTCTACACAAATTGTTGTATGGTTGCCAGATGGAATCCCCACACATAAATTTGTATGGTTGCAGAAGGACCCACCTATATATGAATAATTGTATGGTTGCAGGAGGACCCCTCTCTCTATATATATATTTGTATGGTTGCAGGAGGACCCACCTGCTGGTGTATCTGGTGCTCCAGGAGAGAACAATATATTACTATGGAATGCTGTTATATTTGGACCTCATGATACTCCTTTTGAGGTAAACATGGAATTTCATATTTTTTTATTTTTTAACTGAAAATATTCATTTTTAAATTGGCTATCAAGTTATTGCATGACTTTCAGTACTATACATTTTCCCAATAAATTATTCCATAATCAAATTAAAAGAAATTCACACATTTTAAGTTTAAATTCTCACTTATAGCGGAAACCAGAAAACACGGGGCTTGATTGTCGTTCTAAGGTTTTTCTATATCGTTGGATATGTTGAAATAAGACGAAGGATAAAATGTCAAGATATATTTTTTATTCAATTTTGATGGAATTTATCACACCCAATATTTTCCGTTCTAGGGTGATTAAGTGACTTTATCGCCCTACAACAGGGTGCAAAAGTAACTTTTTCACCCTGCTATTAAAATTTCAAATTTCATACTTATTTTGTGTCATTGTAGGGTGATAAAGTTACTTAATCACCCTACAACAGGGTGTTTAAGTAACTTTATCGACCTGCTTTTGAATAATTTGAGTAAAACTGAATAAAACTATATATGTTATTGAAATGGGTATCATGCGTGCGAAAAAGTTTTTGTTGTGATTTTTAATTTCACTACGTTCGGTGTGAAAATACTTTCATTTTGATCTTAAACAAACTAGAAAAAATAAAAATCCCGGCAAAAACTTTTTCGTACTTAATAATAACCATTACAATGACATAAATAGATATAAACACAAAGAAATATAGAAGACGACAATTATTCCATGGATTTCTGGTTACTTCTGTTTAACCCAGAGAATTTCATTGAAAACAGCAAAGCAATCGATATGGTTTTCTCAACAGGATGGAACAAATTTTCGACATCAATTGACTTCACCTTTTTTATATTTATTTCCAAAACAAATTGTTTTCCCTTAAAAATCAATTATTTTCACCATTATCTCTCAGCGATAAAATCTGCTAAACTCAAACATTCCATACTTGGATTTTTAAAGAGAAGGAAATTAATTTAGGAAAGGGAGGAAATTATTTGTGGAAAGGGGAAACTTTTGTAAAGATGATTTTTGGGAAGGGGATGGGAGATATATATTTGCAGATGTGGGATAATAATTTTGTGAGCGGGGCTAAATTAATTTTTGGAGGGGAGCAGACATGATTTTTCAACAATATATACTCCTGGTTCTAAATTGTTTAATATTCCAGGATGGTACCTTCAAGCTGACTATGGAGTTTAGTGAAGAATATCCAAACAAACCCCCTGTAGTTAAATTCTTGTCTAAAATGTTTCATCCCAATATTTACGCGGACGGAGGGATTTGTTTAGATATTTTGCAGAACAGATGGTAAGTTAAAAAATATATATTTTTGGAAAGACGTAATTTAAAGGGATTTACTTTTATTAAGTCTTATGTCTGATTTACAACAGTATCTTACAATCCTTTATATGATCAAGAATGATAAAATTAGTGGCTTGGTATTTACGCTGCAGAGACAAAGAAGAAATTCGTTGGAATTTAATGTCTATATCTTCCTCATTGTAACTCAGATAAAGGTTTAAATGTACCATTGTAAATCGGACATATCACGTCGACAGTCAATTCCATCTGTGTTCTGTTTGTTTTTTAACTTTTCAGTCAACTTTTGTTATAAGTAGAAATTTCCAGTTTTTCCTGTAAACATGAGAATTAAATTTCAGGTCACCTACTTATGATGTTTCAGCCATCCTCACCAGTATCCAATCACTGGTAATAACAACAAAATTATATTTATATTTATTAATATTTATCAGGAAACAATGATCACTAAAAAAATCAAAACTGTTTTTTGTTTAAAACATGAACATTTAAACTTGAATGATTATTATTATTTACAACTACTTTACAGGGAAGTTAAGGAAATTGTACTTTACCAAAGGTTCCCAAGACCAATTTTGTAGAAAAAATTGGTCGAGGGAACCCGTGGTTAAGTAAAATTTTTAATTTCCCGAAAAAGTAGTTATACATACACAATTTTATCGTCTTTTGAGATGAAAATGCGCGAATTTTTCCCGAAAACTTCGCAGAATGGTTGGTTATTTTACATAACTGTCACAAGGGACGTTAAGTAACCTAACCTCTCTCGCAGAATTGGGAGGAACAAATTAATTTTAGGGTAAATAGTATCAAAAAAGAATGTAAAACTTGCATTTTGATGTCCCAATTTTTTCCCCTCAAATTATGAAAGATATACACACACGCCCCTTCCAAGGGAAGGGGTGAGAGGGTAAATGTAAAAAATATACACCCCTGCATCTATCTGACCAAGATTAATTATTAATATATTTAGTTGAGTGATCCCAACCCTAACTCCCCAGCTAATTCCATGGCAGCCCAGTTGTTCAAGGAGAATAGAAGAGAATACGAGAAGAGAGTAAAAGCCTGCGTAGAACAATCCTGGTGTGATGATTAAACCTCTAGATCTAATTGTGTGCGTGAGGATGAGGGGGGGGGGAGCTTACATATTTATTTAACCTCATACTTTTTCATACTTTCTAAATTCTATCTTTTAAACTAATGTTTTCACTTAATCAATAAAAATTCTTTTTGTGTAATTTTAAACATTTTATCGAGGGGGAGGGGGGGGGGGCTGGACATGGTCAGCGAGAATGTATCAAAGGCAGTTAGAATGAAGCAAGTAACCCAGTAAAATAACGGGTATGAGTGGTTTTTTTTCGTAGAAAATATTGAATTTTATCAATCACAAAAGCCAAGAAGTTTTTTTACAGCTCTCTTGTTTACTCTAACTTTAAATCAGATTTGAAATGCACTCTGATATGTATTATGTGAATTGAATTTACATTGATAAAATATTTTGTTGTAAAATGTTCATTGTTTCACAAATCAACGAAATTTTTGTAAAATTAGAAATCTTAGACTATATGGAACCTTGAATTAAGAATCAAATACTAAAGAACCTTACGATATTCTGGGATTTTCTTAAACTTAAAATTTATCATAATTTCATGTGAAAATAATAATATTTTACTGTTGTATATAAATCTTTTTCGATGTTACAAGTCGAGAATTATTTTATTAAGGAGACACAATTCTGAATAAAATTTAATTATTATTTTTTTCAAGATATAGTTATTTAGATTTAAGGCAAACAGAGGTTACATAAACCTCCATTAGTGAGCTGTCAACATGAAAGTTGTTGACGAAATTGATTTAATATGCTCAAATTAATTTAATTAAGAACTCTTTCCTAAGTGAGGAATTAATTTGGTTTAAACTAATTAATTTATTTAAGTTGTACTTTTCATCTCGACTAGACCTGAAAATGTTGCCATAAAATCTTAACCCGGAAGGAAAAATGATTTTTAAAAAATTACCAACCAATTCAATTATGATTTCAATTCTCGGGAATTTCTTTATTATCGTTGCATCTATTTTCTTTAACCGAAGTTAAATTGCTTCCCTCCTTGTTTCTGCATGCTTTTACACAGACAGAGCCAGACGGGAGGAGATAATTCCAAGTGACTTGCAATTCAAAAAGAAATGTAAGATTTTATTTAAAATTTTATTTTCTAAGGCTGTAATCTTGTAGGCGTACACATTTATTACATTACAGAGGCCTATTGTTATGACTAAATTAATACTTAAACTTATCCGTATAAGACTTGAGCTAGTGGCGTACTCAGGAATTGGTCCAGTACTTACATTTTTTGAAAACCCCATTGAAGCTTTAGAATCTATGGATCCGAGGGTTGAGCCCTCATCCTCTGTACGCCGAGTACGCCCCTGATATCAGAGACGACTGTGCGGAATTTATACTGTCCGTTTCCTTTTATTCATGACTTCCTGTCACTATAAACTTTTTCTATCTACGCCAAATCATTAAATTATCCATTTAAAAAGTACATACAAGGCAAAGTACATTTTAACTTGGGATCCTTATATTTAAAGAGTTATAAGTCGTCTTCACAATCTCATCCTTTGTGGGTAACACTGTATTTAAATATCGATGAAAAATACTCTTTCATAGTAAAAATGAACAAATATACGGAAATTTATTAATCTCAATGTCGGTTATCGGAGGAGCTGGGAAAAACGGAAATTATGGAACCCCCTACGTACTGAGCCGTAAAGTACATGTTCACAACCAAATTGTTCGGTCAATTTCTAACCCAATCCAAAACCTAACCTTTCTCCGATTAGCGGGGGAAGGCAGGCGGCCATGAACCACCACTATTTCCTCTTCTGTGTCACATATTAGCTTTTTTCTCTTCCTGCAGCAATGAGCCACCATTATTTCCCCTTCCGGGCCACCACATTTGACTTCCGGACAAAACTATTTTTTTAAAGTGTGATTTTAAATAATACAGCCGCGTCACTTTTTCAATTCCACATAAGATTAATTATTAATATATAACAGAGGTCGTTTGTTTTAGATTTTAGCAGGTAAACTATGTCATTTTTTGTATTGTGGGAACAGAGAAAAATTGTTCAGAGTAGTCTGAAGAATAAGAAAATATTATAAAAATCGCAACATTTACTGTCATTACGCGTTACAGATTTTATCCAAAACAAAAAAACGTTTTTTAGCAATTTTCACACAAGGGTACCCTTCAAAATTTTATGGTGCGTCATTTTTAATATTTATATTGCTCTCAAAAATAAGCCATTTATATGAAAATCAGAATCTAGATTTGCTTAAAATAGTTCTGCAGTGCAGTTCACTTAGGAGGATCGAATCATCCTTTTTTCACATTAACACTTAAATATGAAGATTTAAATATATAATATTTGGTGACGCGGATGGATTTTTGAAAATCACACTTTACAGGATTTATTATACCATGTGGTGGTCCGGAAGGGGAAATAGTGGTGGCTCATGGCCGCCTGCCTTCTCCCGAACATCGCAGAAAGGTATGGGTTATTCAGGTTATAGATGGTTAAGAAATTGACCGAACAATTTGGTTGTGGACACTTTAAAGGCCTTAAATATACCATTTAAAGAAGTAGTTTTGCCTGGAAGAGTCAAATGTGGTGGTACGGAAGGGGAAATAGTGGTGGCTCATGGCTGCCGGAAGTGAAAAAAGCTAATATGTGGCACTGAAGGGGAAATAGTGGTGGCTGTCCAAAAATCGTTCTCTAGGAAATTACCTTGCTTTTTTCAGAGTTTAGTTTTTGTCCAATTTAAGAGTTGTGTACGATCCCATAGATGTAGATAATGTAGAAAACTATGAACGTTAAAATCAATTGACTATAATTACAGAATGAATAATGAAACGCGAAGGATACATGAAAGACTTCACGCCCATGGAAACTTTGTCAGCTTGGACTGGATCTCTCAGTGTGTTGAATATCTCAGGGATTTATTCAACATCTGATGAATTAAAAATAATTTCCTAGACTTTAGGTTAAATTTTACTCAATTGTTTGGTAATGTAAGAATTGATTAACAGTCATATCAATAGAAAAAAAATGTGCCTAAAACCATTCGGTACAATCTTTTCCAAAAATAAAAAAATAAAGATTAGGATGTAGGGGATGAATAATTCATTGAAAGCTACGCTACTTTAATTCGTTCTTAAAAGAACTCGGACTTAACAAAACAAGTATTGTGTTGTACAGTACATTGTGCAGCAATTGTTTGTACTATGCCCTTTTTTTACGGAAAAACAGATTTATTTTAATTTTCTTAATTATAATTCTGGTTTGTCTCTGATATTGAATAATACTAGAGAGGAGGGAAATATTTCTGAAGATAGAATAGTTTTAGGAGTTCAGGTAACATCTTAACTTTGTTTTCTAAAGGGGAATATATTTATCAAAATATCCCCCCCCCCTTCCTGCATTTAATGTAATTTTGTTCGGGAAAACAAATGATACCAGTACCAACGTCGGACTTACAAACGTCGGACGAGTATAAACGTAATTGAAACAGGCCTCCAAAATTTTATTGTTCAAAATATGAACTCGAGTTTTAAAAGTTTGGCAGTTGAATTCCCGTTATAACTTTATCAATGTTAACCCAACTCGTCGAAAATAATTTCGTTCAAACCTTACAAATTACAACTAGGAGCAATGGTTGCTTGCAGATATATCAACTCCAGGTATCATGGAGAAGCCTTGGTTTCCTCCAAACCTAACTTCAATACAGAAAATTAAACTCTCGGGGAAAGGTTCAGTGCAGGTAAGAACTTGTTCCTTGAACACATAATAAAGAAAAATTTATATTGTTTTTTTTTTCAATCTTATAAATTTGATCAAATCTCAATTCAAGTTTTGAAGGTTAATTACGGATATGATATCGGGAACCCGGCATACGGTCAACTACAAAAAATACACAAGGTTGGAACTATTTTGAGTTTTAATAAATAAAAATCTTATTAAGTGCATGCAGGCCGATGTAATAATATGCTTTACCTGGTTGAAAAAGGCATAAAATTCTCATAATTAAATTAAAACTATGTTTTTGTGTTTAGTTAGAAAATGCCAATGCTCGTGTTTCCGCAGAAAACTCCGAGGGAACACAGTCTGGATACCAACCTAGTCAAGGTATATCAAGGGAACACAGTCTGGATACCAACCTAGTCAAGGTATATCAAGGGAACTATGTAACACTCACCCGGACCAAATATAATATATACATGAGTATTCGTTTGAATAGTTCCTCCTCTCTCCGGGAAATGGATTTTCTTAGATTTTGAATTCAATTGGCTAATTCTTCTCCATTTTTGCTAATTTTAAACCCACATTTTTAAAAATCTTAAAATGGTAAAAATATTTATCAACAAATCCCTTGAATTATAAACAATGCTTAAGGCAGGTTTGTTGCTAGCTGGGAGCCCAGCTCTTCAAGGATGCTCAGTTTGAGTTTAACAGATGGATTTCAAGAGATCCAGGCAGTAGAACATGAGAGAGTAGGTCAATATTTCAAAAAAAACTTTTAATTATAATTTTGAACTTTAAAAAATTATGAAAATTTGTGATATTTTAAGCTTTCCAAAACCTTGACCAGCATTCAATTATCACCCTTGACTTCTCAAAAATCACTGATATTAATATTATTTTAATTACTCAAGGTGTCCTTCCTAACATGATACCACCCGGACTGAAGATAGAACTGATAGGTCCCATCCTGTGCCGGAGAGGGAAACTTCTCCTAACCCAGAACTCAGTTCGGATCCTGGGAGGAGAAGTTGAAGAGCTCCAAGATAGGTTCTCAACAGAGAATGTTCTCACACAGAAGATTGGAACCAAGATTGATAAGAAGAGGATTGAGTTTCCTAAACCTGGTGTTGTGAGACCTGCTCTAACAGAACGGAGACCAGCAAATATAAATCCTTCTCAAACCAACCTTCCGTCACAGAATATCCAAGTAAATCATCGACCTAGACCCACCAATAATCAGACAAAATCAAAACCAAATAACCGTCCAATAAATCCGCCACGAGCACAGGAAAATAGATCGTTTCCTCAGAACACGGAAACACTGGACGATGTAAATTGGGACGATGATGATTTTCCTGCTATGGACGACGACGATTTCCCTATGATAGACGACGATGACGATTTATTACTCTCATTGTCAGATAATACATTTCAACCTGTTCCTACCTCAGTTAACATCTCAAATACTAGTCAAGTATCCTCTATGATGTCCTCCAGACCTCAACAACCATCCTCCATACGACCTCAAGTTCTTGGAACCCAAAATAATCCTCCGTTTCGATCTCCGTTTGTATCCTCGAGTGTTCAGTCTCGTCCTAGTATTCCGCACCAACCTCCTTCTCAAAAATGTCAGCCTGTAGCTCGGATATCTCCTCTAACTATAGAACCCTGCACTGTTACTCCTAAGCAAACCATTCAGACCTCAATACACTCCTTCCTAAAGCCTAAAAGGCCGAGAATGGATATTCCTGATTTTGATCTCGAGGACGACCTTGAAATATTTGACCAGGTTGAACTCCCAACAGAGGTTGAAGCCAAGTTGATACCATCTGAACCGTTTCTCTATCTCTCCGAGTTAAAGAAGGAAATGAAGATGAACCCGGACCGAAGATATGTTGTAACTATCAGGGTAAGAATATTTAAGTCCTTATACTTACTCCCATCCATCCAAAAAGAAAATAAAAAATTCTAGTTTAATTTATCATAACATTTAATCTTGATATATTTGAAGGCCGTGAGTTCAACTTTGGCTGGTACTATGAAAATCAAGAAAACTTCTGAGGGTCCACAGTGGTCGCATATGTATGTGTTTATGGTCGGACAATACTCGGACACTGATAACTCATGGAAGAACGCGTTTGAACAAAACACTATTTCTCCGTACATTTCACGACCAATATAGGAGACGTGAAGTTGTCGACCAATGTAGTTTATGCTAGGAACGGCCTCAGTCTACACTGTATAAGCTTGATTTCTTAGTCCTGCTATATTAAGTACAACCCAAAGATAAGAGAGTTACAGAGATCGACTAACATCTATAATATGTTCTATTGTGTACAAGTACTGTACACGACCAATCAGGAGACATCTGTANAGTGTTTCCAGACTAATATGAATTCAATAAAACGAGGTTCCCCTCCTCCACCTCAAACCGTGATTATGTGTATTATGTAACCGTAATGTTTCCAGACTAATATGAATTCAATAAAACGAGGAGCTCTGGTTGTATTCGAGGGATGTGATAGATCCGGTAAAACTACGCAGATTCAGAAGTTGGTGAATAGATTAAACGAGGAGGGAACACCGGCAAAGTACGTTTTATTTTTTTTGAAAAAATCTGTTTCTATTTTTTAAAAGGTTTGTTTTATTCTTTGATTAAGGATGATGAGGTTTCCTGAGAGAACTACAGGGATAGGAGCACTGATAGATCAGTATCTAAGCTGTAATAAAGAACTGGATGATCACGTGGTGCATCTTCTCTTCTCTGCGAACAGGTTCAGATCTTAACTTTTGTCTGAAATGAAGTGTAAGCGTAATTCCAAGACACCTTTCATTTAAAGGGGGACATTCCCGGTTCACAACAGTACCCCTTTAAACCTTTGACTGATCAGTGGGGACAGAGAACTCTGTATATTTATCTTTTAAATGTTGCGTAAAAAGCCGCAAAATTGGATTGTACGCTAACGTACTTTTTGAACTCAATGCGGATGACGTCACACTCATTCCTGGAAAAATTTGAATATTCTATGTCCGTTGTCCAACTCAGTTTTCAAATATTCGTATGTGAATAGTTTTGTTCTGCCACTTAAAGAAAGTAAATATTAATATTCCTTAAATATAAAAATTCTTGCTAACAAATTGTTTAACAAGTAAAACCGTTTCTGTAGATAAATAAGGAAACGTCTGTCATCCTTGATCAGTTAAATGTTTATAAAGTACCGTTGTGAATCAGGTATGTCTCTCTTTCAATGAAAGTACTTGAAGTTACGCTTATAGTCCCTGTTGTATGATGATTATTTAAATCCAACTCAAGCAGGATTTATCACTGAGTTCCCACATAAATATTGTTGTTTATTATCTCTGTTTACTCAATTTTAGATGGGAACTGGTGGATGAAATTAAGAAATCTGTAGAAAGTGGAGTAACTGTACTGATAGATAGATACGCGTTCAGTGGAGTTGCATTTTCTGCTGCGAAGGTTTCTTTTATATCCTTTTTAAATCAATGATAACTCTGTCAATTAAAAGCTTGTAGGCTAGTATTCATCCTTGTAGACTAGTATCCATCCTTGTAGACTAGTATTCATTAGTGTTGACTAGGTACCATCCTTGTNTTGTTACCTCCAGGGTTCCCATCGGTTTCCTCAAAAAAAATTCAGCCAATGTAAATATATAAATATATAAATATATATATATACACAGATTTAAACCAAAATTCATAATTTTAGACTAGAATTAACCCTGGAAGAATAATCCCCAACTTGACTAGATTACATTTCTGTAAACCATTGTAGAACACATCCATTTCACATCTTTCGTATCTTGTTTCTTGTGTTTCTGATCGTGTACTATGCAGGCTGGTATGAGTTTAAAGTGGTGTAAGGAGCCAGATGTAGGATTACCACAACCAGACCTTGTCTGTTTTCTAAACGTATCAGAGGTAGAGTTCTAATTTAAACATTTAAAAAATTATTTATTTTCCAGGTTTTAAACAGATTCGGGGAAAAAAATAAGAATTTTGTTACCTGCTAACTTTCTGAAATATGTTTTAGCATCTTCAGTACATACAATTGAACCAGAAAACTGTGGAATAGGAAGTTGACTTTTAAACTCTAGTTATGACTTTAAATAGTCCAATGTACATGAGGCACAGCAATTGTGCATTGTAAACAGACCCATTTAAGTTAGTAAGTGATTTAATAAATGACTTATAAAACTATTTGCTTTGTAACAACATCAAATGCACTTTAGTATTGCTTTATTGTCGTCTTCCTGTTCTATAATTTTCTAGTTATCACTGAAAGAAATTGAAGAAAATTTTAAAATAAAGAAAATATTAGAATTATACTTAAACTCTTCAATGATTAGGAGGTTGCAAAGGCCAGAGCAGACTTCGGAGGAGAAAGATATGAAAAAACAGAGTTCCAAGTTAGAGTAAGTTTTGAATCTTCAGTTTTAAATACTGGGCGGATCGCCTGGGTTTTAGAGAGTATCCATAAACGGAGTTGTCTTAGGCAGATCGCCTGGTTTTTAGAGAGTATCCATAAACGCTGTTGTCTTTGGCAGATCGTCTGGTTTTAGAGAGTATCCAGAAACGGAGCTGTCTTGGGCAGATCGCCTGGTTTTTAGAGAGTATCCAGAAACGGAGTTGTCTTTGGCAGATCCCCTGGTTTTCAGAGAGTCTCCATAAACGGAGCTGTCTTGGGCAGACCGCCTGGTTTTTGAGTCTCCAGAAATGGAGCTGTCTTGGGCAGATCGCCTGGTTTTTGAGTCTCCAGAAATGGAGCTGTCTTGGGCAGACCGCCTGGTTTTTGAGTCTCCAGAAATGGAGCTGTCTTGGGCAGACCGCCTGGTTTTTGAGTCTCCAGAAATGGAGCTGTCTTGGGCAGACCGCCTGGTTTTTGAGTCTCCAGAAATGGAGCTGTCTTGGGCAGACCGCCTGGTTTTTGAGTCTCCAGAAATGGAGCTGTCTTGGGCAGATCGCCTGGTTTTTGAGTCTCCAGAAATGGAGCTGTCTTGGGCAGACCGCCTGGTTTTTGAGTCTCCAGAAATGGAGCTGTCTTGGGCAGATCGCCTGGTTTTTGAGTCTCCAGAAATGGAGCTGTCTTGGGCAGACCGCCTGGTTTTTGAGTCTCCAGAAATGGAGCTGTCTTGGGCAGATCGCCTGGTTTTTGAGTCTCCAGAAATGGAGCTGTCTTGGGCAGATCGCCTGGTTTTTAGAGAGTCTCCAGAAATGGAGCTGTCTTGGGCAGATCGCCTGGTTTTTAGAGAGTCTTCAGAAATGGAGCTGTCTTGGGCAGATCGCCTGGTATAAGTCTTCTCCCTAGGGTGACACGGTTCGGTCAGCCCATGGATACGTTTCGGCGGCTAGGAGCGCCGACCCCCATTTCATTGAATGATGGGTTGTCCTTTAATAATAATAATAATAATAATAACTACAAAATAGTTTCATTTTCCAGACAACTTAAATTAAATGTTTTCCTTTGTTTGCCAGTCTATTCCAACACTATATTTTCAACGTCTACCGTGGTTTGACTACAGGCTGCAGGAAAAATTAACACTAGTCCAATGAGGAGGGATTTGGTTTGAAAAATGTCCTAGGTCTGGGAAAACGTTGATCTATTTTGTGTACTCCAGATCCAGGAGAACTATGATCTATTTTGTGTACTCTAGTTCTTGGATAACTATATTCTATGTTGTGTACTCTAGGTCTAGGAGAACTATGATCCATGTTGTGTTCTCTACGTCTAGGACGTTGTGTACTCTAGGTCTAGGAGAACTATGATCTATGTTGTGTACTCTGGTCTAGGATAACTATGATCTTTGTTATGTACTCAAGGTTCAGGAGAACTATGATCTATGTTGTGTACTCTAGGTATAGGATAACTACGATCTATTTTGTGTACTCTAGGTCTAGGAGAACTATAATCTATGTTGTGTACTCTACGTCTAGGAGAACTATTATCTATGTTGTGTACTCTAGGTCTAGTACAACTATGATCTATGTTGTGTACTCTAGGTCTAGGAGAACTATGATCTATGTTGTGTACTCTAGGTTCAGGAGAACTATGATCTATGTTGTTTACTCTAGGTCTAGGAGAACTATGATCTATGTTGTGTACTCTACGTCTAGGAGAACTATGATCTATGTTGTGTACTCTAGGTCTAGGAGAACTATGATCTATATTGTGTACTCTGGTCTAGGATAACTATGATCTATTTTTGTACTTTACGTCTAGGAGAACTATAATCTATGTTGTATACTCTACGTCTAGGATAACTATGATCTATTCTGTGTACTTTAGGTTAGGGAAAACTATGATCTACTAAATGATGATACTTGGGTTCACGTGAACGCTGACCTAACTATGGAGGAAGTACACGCCTCAATATACGAAATAGTAACGGACGAGGTATCAAATTCTTGGTATTTTATATTTCATCAGAAGATTTAACTAAACATTATTTTACTTCTAAATTTGAACTGAATACCTGGATGCGTGTCATGTTGTGGATCTCTACTCTTCCTTTTAAGGTTGAAAGAGTAAAGAAACCCCTGGGGAGATTATGGGAGAAGGAAGAGGAAGAAGAATACGAGGATAGTAATCACACTGTTACCTGATTTAAAACAGAACAACTCTAACCTATATATTTCTATCAAGTTTTAATTTTTTTCAGAAATATGTTGAAAAGATTGGAAAAGGGAATCTCAGAGTTGATCCAAGTTCATAGAGAGCATCTAGAGATATGGAGATCTTCGGAGAAGGAATTGGAAAGGTTGGAGGCCGGATACAAAAACCATAGAGATCAAAGGGAGCTGTTTATAAAGATGGATATCTCGAAAACGGAGTTAGGAATCATGTTTCCAAACACCAAAGAGAAACTCATCTCTAAACTAGAGATCAAGATCTCAGATCTAGACTCCAGACTCCGAGATAAACTGGAGATTATGGAAACCCAGAAGAACACAGTTCTGAGGTTAGCTGCGGAGTGTGCTCAAGCTGCCGAGGGGGTGGAGTTTAGTGAAATGATGGGAATCAAGAATATTCAGTTAGAAACTGGTTTTCTAGTTGAGTTCTGCTTTGACCTAGAGCAGACCTATCTCAATACTATCAACCATATGCTTCATTTTCTATCCATCAATAGTACAGCTGACAAGTTCTTTGATATTTCACATTTTGAAAATGTTTTAAGTGATTATTATTTGTTATGATTGTTTCAGAAAGAATGGAGTGGTTGTTTGGCAGGAAGTTGACCCCGGATGAGATGCTGAGGAAGAATCAGCGAGCTCTCACAAAAGTAAAATTTTAATAATTTTTTTTTATAAAAATATTCCTGATAATCATTATTCTATTTTTATATATCTTATTAACACGAAGTGCGTACAAATAAAACTCTCAGGGAAACATTTATTTTGTTGAAAGAAAAAACTTATGAAAGAATTTCTTTAAAGTTGAAGCTCCGTAATTATTTTTAAAATCTATTTCTTAATAGTCTAATTTTTCATTTTAATAAATTGTTTGATTTAACTAAATAAAACGCAGTAGGCAACATTGCCATTACCATGGTCTAAGATCTTTCCCTTTATTTTAAAATTTTTTAATAAATGCGTTTAGGCGATGAGAGAGTTGGATAGAGAAAGAGCAAAGATGGAACAACAAGAGAAGAAAATTATTGCAGACATTAAAAAAATGGCAAAACAAGGTAAGTTTGTTTTCACTCATGTCATGCTTATAAAATTCGAATTATGAGAACCTGGAACCATATTTTATCAATTTGTGCTAGGTTGCTTAAACTTTCAACCACCCCGGCTCAAATCTTGTAACACCCGTTTGAAGTTAAAGATTCCTGAGATCCAGGATTTGGGCCGGATGTTGGTAGTTCAGCAACTTGTCGAATTCATTAATGTCGGTCCCTTGACCATGTCGGGTTCCTTATCAGATCTACCCTTCTTATTATTATTATTATTACGCTGGATAAGGGTGATGCCCTGATGGATTATGGGGGTTACATGTCGGGTTTCCTTTCATATTTATTTATTATTCTTTATTTCTAATGAAAAATACTTTCCTTACTTAGATTAATATTCAAATGTGATTCTTCCTTGAATAATACTATTTCAGGGCAGATGGATTCAGTGAAGATCATGGCCAAGGATCTGGTTCGAACCAGGAGATATGTTAAGAAGTTTATGCTCATGAAGGCTAACATTCAGGCAGTCTCATTGAAGATACAGACACTCAAGTCACAGAACGCCATGGCACAGGCTATGAAGGTTGTTAAATATTTTTTTATTCAGTCTAGTCAGTCAGTCATTTCAGCCAAGTCAGCCAAGTCAGTCATTTCAGCCAAGTCAGCCAAGTCAGTCAAGTCAGTCAAGTCAGCCAAGTCAGCCAAGTCAGCCAAGTCAGTCAAGTCAGTCAGTATAATTATAAAATGTTCAGGGCGTAACTAGAGCTATGATGAGCATGAACAGGCAGATGAAGCTCCCTGAGATACAGAAGATAATGCAGGAGTTTGAGAAGCAGTCCGAGATAATGGACATGAAAGAAGAAATGATGAATGATGTTATCGGTAAGATTGATAAATATAAAACTGGTGTAATGGTACTTTCATGATTTTATCCAGTAAGAGGAAGAGAAATGTTTGCTATATTAAGCTTTTAACGAATATGGAGTTATCCTTCTCTATTCGTCCTTGCATGCATTAAGCTTTACGACATACATTGTTTGTACAAATGCACACAAAAAGACATATAATTTTACTTTTCAGTTTTAATATCCATCATTGAATGTTAAGATGACGCAATGGGAGATGATGACGAGGAGGAAGAGAGTGACGCAATAGTTACGCAGGTTCTTGACGAGCTAGGTCTCCAGTTGACCGATCAGCTGACTGCTGTTCCTATTGCTGGTGGTAGTATTGCAGCTCCTGGAGCCAAAGGCAAAACAGCTGTTCCTGCCGGAGCAGAGGTAAATTTTCTACTCTCACAGATTCAACCTTAAAAACAGTTTTCCTCTCAAAAGATTTTTTTTAAAAGTTGGTCAAATGAATTGAATCTTCTCCACAAGTTCTGATTTTCTATTCCCTATCCCATTTATACCCATTGTCATAAACCTTCGATATTTCAAACTATGATTTATGTTAAAACAAATAATCTAAGTTTGAAATATCAAAGCATTAGACCATCAGGTTAAAAAGAAATAGGGAATTTATGTTTGTGGCAAAAACCCGATTCCTTAATTAGTTTTTTTTTGCGTATAAGCTGGCATCGGATACTATTTTCTTGATAAATTTTCGCTCCAATTATTAAATTTGCCTACATTTTTTTATATATCTTGATTTTTTAATGATTTTTTTTGGTGGGGGGGAGGGAACGCCATTAAGTCCTTATATTTCATAACAAACTTCAAAAACAAGATAAGCTGTAGATAAGCTGTAGGTAAGAATAAAATAAAATAATCACTAAAATCTAATTTAGGCGGATGCCGATGCAGATTTACAGGCTCGCTTGGATAATCTTCGGAGAGAATAGAACTAGAGATATTTTGTAGTTTCAAATATTTGGATTTTCTTCAGGGAGAAAAATATTTTCAGTATCGCTAATTTTGACACTTATCATTGCTCTTTTTATATTGAGATCATGAACTCGATTTGGTCGAAAATACAGAAAATGTTGCCTCCTCTATAGAGCTTGAACCTGCTCGTATAGAAAATTATCTCCCAAACTAAAGAGAAGTTCAAGGAAACACTTTAATATTATCTCAAAATGTTTATGATAATGAGTATTTAGTAAACATTAATATCTATATTATTCCCCAGTTTATATTGTTCATCGCTTAATTTTTCTATCCATAGGTCCAAACAAAGCAATGAAGAAGTGCTAATTTTGAGCATCTAAAACTGAGTAATTATTTAATTTGAGTTTCTTAATCGCTATAATTGAGATTGTTGAGTACATTTATTTGTTCTTGCTCTAAACTTTACTAAATACACTTAAACTTAAGGTATTTTAATTCTTTGATTTCATAATGATGAGATGTTTTTTTTTTACATACGTAAAAATATTTGATAATCTAATAATTTGTGTAAAAACTGTGATTGTTAATAAAATATATATTTCATAACTTCGCATTCATTGGTACATTTTACATTTTGAAAATAAATTTTGCGCCTTTGAAACCTTTTAGTGTAGTTTCAAGAGCAGGTTTAAATTGATTAAAAGGAATAGGGTTTAAAGGTGGAGGAGAGAGATCCTTAGCTGCGATCATATCTGTGAGCTGGGAGATCATTTTTAATCTTGTTTTATTCATTCCCTGCTCTTTATACCACCGAGATAACCAGAATCCTCGCAAACTTATATTCTAAAACATTATTTTCAAGATAANAAACATATAAAGAGATCAAATGTGATTTACTCCTACTCCTGACGTGATTTTACCCCACCCCTTTGACTGTCTCCTCCAACGGCAGACATGAACTCATACCTTCGAGTGTGCGAGGTGGGGAAGACTTCACTGCAGATTTTACTTTTTGGCATGACCACTTTTTCAAGAATTTTCAAATAAATTAGTTTTTTTACGGTTAGGTTAGGTTAAGTAGATTGGGTGTCCGATTTACGACGGTACCTGTAGATTGGCGTGTCCGATTTACAACGGTACCCTTTAAAATTTTCGCCTGATCAAAGAACACGGAGATATTCAGATTTTTATCATTCTATATTTTAGTTCCTGGAAACGCTATGCTCGGGCAAAGATACAATGAGTACCTTTGTAAATAGGATAAGCCAACTGAATTTACGTCTAGTCCCATTAAAGGAAATAATAACGTAGGTTTACCTTGAAGATCATATGTGACGTGGCAGCTATAACAGGTTTCAGAGACATACCACCGTAGGTAACATGTACACCATCCTCTCCCAGGGCCTTACATAGTTCCGTCCCACTTGCTCCACCCACACAATTTAATGCTAGGCGGGGGCGGGGTAGTTCTCTCCAGGCTCTTCGAGCTTCTTCCTCTGTAAGAACTTCATCAGCTCCCATCCTCTTCATTTGAGCTTTTAATTCATCAATATTTTCCCGGTTACGCACCACGTTTATTGTTTTCAAATTCTTGATCTAAAAACGTAAAATTCTAAGAAAAATTGTGAAATTTTGTTGATTTCTGGCATTCGTATTTGTACCTTTGCTATCTCAATAACAGCCAGTCCGACCGCACTATTTGCTCCGTTCTGTACTATCCAGTCACCTGCACGGAGAGGGATAAAATCCTCCAACATTCTCAGCGCTGTTGCAGGATTTATCATCAAGGTTGCAGCACTCTCTACAGAGATATCATTCCGTATTTTGATCAGGTTTCCCTCTTCGTACACTCCGTGTGTTCTCCAGGTCCCTGACATAGCTAGACCTGGTAGAACCCAATCTCCGGGTTCTAATTTAGAGCCCTTAGTCTCCAATACTTCTGCTACACCTTCTCCTCCTCCAACTCCAGGTAGAGTCGGTTTTATTGGATAAGTTCCCTGGAAATATAGAAATAGTATCCTAGCACTTGTCATGTTTATTGTTTATGGCAAGAGGTAACATTTCATTAAACAAACACTGAGATACAATTATATATTTATATATTTTAACAATGAAAAATCAGAATCAAAAGACAAGTTTATTCACTATTTTTTAAACTTTCCCACAAATATTTATTTTTTACCCCTAAACATCATTTTTATTTTCCCCAATACAACGAATAAATCCCTGAGAAAAATACCTAAGGTCTGGATTGAAAATAATGAAGAGGAGTGATTTTTGAGAAAAATAAACCCCCTAAACAAATAAAACACCCATGAGCCGTGTTGATCAAATCCGACAGATGAGGAAAATTCTCGAGCATAATTGAGCAAGAAAAGAAACCCCTTGGAGTCATAACGTATCTACTCAGGAAGAACGTATCTACTCAGGAAGGGACGGTCGTACCTATTCAAATGTTTAAATGTAACTTAAAATATGAATGAAAATTAACCTGAATAGTGTTTATATCTGCAGGATTAACAGGACTAGCGAGAAATCGAACCAGAACTTCTCCGGACTTGAGATTAAATTTTGTCTCCTCACGCTTTAGTTGAATAACCTCGGTAGGAATACCAAACTTATCAAATTCCAGTCGTTCTGTGCTCACGGAGCTGAACCTACGGGCTCGGGTTAAAATTACTCCGCGTGGAAGAAGAAAAGCACTTAGACCATTCATTCTGAAACAAAATCAGGATTCAAGATTTATTTTAAGGATTTGGACTGGGTCCGAGGATTCGTAGGATATCCGAGACCAGCGCAGGTATCTCTGCTCCAGGTTCTCTAAGAAACCTTGGTAGGTTTCCTCATTCCTATTCGACAAAATCCATTAACACACATCTTGGCCAAGGTTCCTTTCGGGTAAAAAAAAATTAAATCGAATTTTCTAGAAGTTAATCTTTTATTGGATGGATTTGTTTCCTGACTGTGCTACAGATGAAGGCTGTTCCGTTCTTTTCGCAGAGAAGTTTAGAAATAGTAGAAACCAAGCTGGGAACTAAACTAGGATCAAAAACTATGTCCGCGCCTAGAACTATATCCGGAGCAAACCTAGTCTCCTCGTCTGATTCCCAGTCAAGGTTCAGAACCTTGTATTTTACAGATCTAGAATTCTTTTCTCTGTTCAGGTTTAGTTCAATGTTTCTGCTCATGTTCTTCAGTACTAATGGATGGCAGTCTGTTGCTATATACTCTTCTACATTTTCAAACTGTTTTATTGTGAAGATCGCTGTAATTCCAGCTCCAGCCCCTAGAATTAAACCAAGGTTATTTTAGCAAGCTTTAATTGGGGCAAAACTGATCCTTAGCTAGATGATATATTTAGATTGTTTTCTTAAATAACCTTTTTATATCTCTCAGGCAGCTCTCATTGAACTCTAAAATTGAATCTGCCTTTTAAATCATTGAAATACATAAAATCAATGTTTCACCAAAATAAGTTCCTAAAAATTACTAGTTCCGCCTCTAAATTATCAATTTATCAACAAAGTTAACGTTAACACCTCAAAATTACCAATTTACCTTCAAAATTACCATTTTACCTTCAAAATTACCGATTTTCCCACATAATCACACAATTTATCCTCATATTTTCTCAATACATGCAAATTTCTTTTTAAATTAATAATTGAAAAATCACGACAAGAATCCTGGTATAGTTCATTGATCTACCTAGTTCTACTACTCTAGCTCCGTCCAGCCAGGTTCTAGGTTGAGAACTAATCCATCTAGTCAGATGTATTCCTGCAGTCCACGTGTTCAAACCAGTAGTTCCATCACTGTAATATCATCATGAGATCTTGGTAAATCAGTATTTTTAAAACAGTTATCTAGTTTCAGTGGTGTTTATTTTCTCGAGGAATCTCCCCCCCCCCTTTTGAAAACCATTTCCCCCCCCCAGAAGTTATGTTATCACGGAGCAGAAACATTTTTTAGGGTTTTTTACGCTGAACAAGGGAAAATAAATGACTTTTGGGGGGGGGGGAGGAATTAATTTTTGGGTAAAAAGTATCAAGAATAAAACAAATTTGACTTTAATTTTTTAATTTTTCATTATTTGGGGATAATTCTTTCTGGTTTTGTAAATAATACCTGATAAGTTCTGGTTTCTCTAGCAAGGAGATGGTTTGAGAACCAAGAAAATAGGATTTGAAGGATTCTGATTTCTCTGAAATAAGGAGGGTTTGTTGGATAAGCTCGTAGAACTCATCCTGAACCTCACAGTTACAGTTCTCCAGGAGCCGGATAACATGTTTACAGAACCGTAGATTGAACTCGGAGAAAACTGGGAATGTTTTGTTGAGGTGTGAACCAACTGTTCTCTGGATAATCTCTGTTTGAACCTGAGAGGATGAAGATGGAGTAATAAGTTCGTCTAACCTTTTCAAGTCTGTTCTCCAGATGAAAAAATGTTCCACAACTTTTTCCATTATTTCTGTAAATATATGTTTTAGATATCTGCTTCACACAGAAAGACTCCTACTAATAACTAATAAACTAGATGAATGGCTAATCTACTGAATGGCCAACATAGACAAAAAAATGAGATGTTTTAATTATCACACCAGTGATACAATAACATAAATTCACCAATTAAACCAATAAAAAGTTGAAATCACTAGATCCAGGGGCGGATTCACTAAATTTTACTTAGCGGCCAATGCGCGTCTTTATATACCCCTGACTAGAAAAAACGCATATACGAGCTATCGGGTTTCCTCCTACCCATGTAAAAGTGTCACTATATATATATATATATATAAGGAAAATTGTGATAAGTGATACTTTTATAATCTATAACCCTGAGGAAAATACAGATAAACCCCTTGGAAAACCTTGACAATTTCTTTGTCCAAAAGAGGAATCTATCAGATAAGAATTTAGCAAGAACATCTAGCGGCCAACATAACGTACCCTGAAGAACCTGAAGTACGTGTGAACTACAGGACCACTATCTATAGAGAGAACACTAACAGGGATGGTGTATCTTTCGGCACACGCAAATCCGCTATACTCCACTTCGGACCTACGCCAAATCCGTTATACTAAACATCCGACCTACTAGCACATGGTTTTACAGCTGCTAGATGGACTTGTGGCCGCAGCGCCCGGCCCCCTAGCCTGTCCTAGCCGCAGCGCTCGGCCCATGGAAATTGTCTTAACCTAACCTTACCCTCAAATAATACAAAAATAAACATCGAAGTAGGTCAGAAGTTCAGTAGGGGAGATGTGCGCATAGACGATGTAACATTACCGAGAAGGAGCTCAGGAAACTAGCTATTTTTTAGAAACCCTCTGGAAACCATTTCACTGATCTATCGGAATTCCAAGATTAAATTAAATCTTCTGTCTTATTAATATGGATCGTTTAATGGCTTAAATATCTTGATTTATAAACAAAGTATAAAGCTCATAACCGATGTCCAGCCATTCCATATTATATGTGTTTAATGTAACAATGTTTAATTTTCAACTTTAAATATATATTTAAACAAACACATGGAAATTTGGTGTAAAACTGTAAACAGACAATTTTTTATTTTGTCTCCAACAGGGATTTTATATACTTTTTCGCATTCCTTGAAGTCAGTTTAAAAATCATTCTTAATTTGTTGGTATTTATCACTTTTCTTCAGGGGAAATAAACACCCCTGTTTCTTAACAGTGTACTTTGTAGTTTGAAACAGCTGATTTAGTTTTTCAGAATTATATATTTATAACTTTTAAATTGAAGAATAAAGATCAGAGAGTTAATGGCTTTTCTAGATCCTAATCTCATAGAAATTTAGGATAAACTTAACGCCTAATTATCTATAAAATATGTTAAGTCTTGTTTCTTATCAATTAATTAGCACTGTATGCTGCAGTTGTCTGATATCTATTATGTTTTAATTCATTGCTCTTAATCTGAATAATGTTCTTAATTTATTGAATCTTCTAATTCATCTAATTCATCAGAGGCGTATTCAGAAGGGACTACAGTGACTAAGGTGCTCAGGGGGGTTTTGGGCCCCACTAAATGCTCAACTCCCCCCCCCCTTAAAAAGGGAAAAACCTAAGCCCTCCATCCTTGAAATATTCCTGACTATATATACGCACCTGTAATACATATTCGGATTTTTGTAGTAATTATTTAATGAATCTAATTCTTATTCAGATCTCGATAATGAACAATTATGTTGCCGAACTGAAGTTAAGAACTGAAATGGCAGAGTCTCAGAAGAAAATGGGTAAATTTTAAGATTTTTGGACGATTTTTGGACCCTCCCCCCCCAGAAAAATTGTGAAATTTTGTTG